ACAGTGCCAAAACCACCAGTAACTGGTGTACTGACCATGGCATTACTGTCCTCGATTGGCCTGCAAATTCCCCTGACCTGAACCCCATAGAGAATATGTGGGGTATTGTGAAGAAGAAGCTGAAAGACACCAGACCCAACAATGCTAATGAGCTAAAGGCCGCTATTGAAGCATCCTGGGCATCCATAACACCTCAGCAATGCCACAGGCTGATTGCCTCCATGCCACGCCGCATTGATGCAGTAATCCGTGCAAAAGGATTCCCAACCAAGTACTGAGTGCATTAATGGACATTTTCAAATGTTTGATTGTGTTTTGCTGTTATAAATCTTTTTTTTTTACTTGGTCTGAGGAACTATTCTAATTTTTTGAGATAGGATTTTTGAGTTTTCTTAAGCTGTATGCCATAATCAGCAATATTAAAATAATAAAAGGCTTGCAATATTTCAGTTGATTTGTAATGAATCCAGAATGTATGACATTTTTGTTTTTTTAATTGCATTACAGAAAATAAAGAACTTTATCACAATATTCTAATTTTCTGAGACAGTCCTGTATGTAAACGACAGAAGAAGCGATCGAAAATCACCCCAGTTGATCGGGAAACCAGTTGATTGGGAAACCAGTTAACGAGGGAACCAGTTAACGAGGGGACCAGTTAATCCGGAACACCGGCAGGAGCGGGAGGTTTAAAGAACCAGAATCAGAGCCCACAGGTAGGGGCAGGGCGAAGAATGGGGCTGGTTATTTGATGGATGGAGCAGCGTTAGCAGGTGGGCTACAATGGCAGGTGAAGCAGGGTAGAAAACCAAAGCGTCCGTCAAAAATGGCAATCGGGTGTAACAAATATGTCCAGATCAGAACACAAAAGCCACAGAATAGTTAGAAAACTATAGCAGTAGAAAGTACATAATGCAGTATTGTGGTGCTTGCAAAGATATCCGAGCCAACTAGTGTTCTACAAAGTAAACAAAAAATGTGTCTCCTACAGATACTCTTAAGAAGATCACACCATAATCATTTTAATATATTTTTAATGATGATGGGAATAAGGATGCAAAACCAATCAATCCCTCTAAATTACAATATCAGTCAAAATGAGTGATTTTTTCCAAATCATTCAGCCCTAACAACTACAAAACCTTTCTAACTGACATGTTAAAAAGTTATGTTAATATTTATGTTTTCTCTTTTCCAGAGCATAATGGCACTCCTCCTTTGCCTTGGCCTGTCGCTGCTGGCCTCCGTCCAGACCAGCAACGTCAAGAACTGCCACCACGGCTGCCACTGTGAGGTGGAAAGCTTCGGCCTGTTCGACAGCTTTAGCCTGACCAGGGTGGACTGTCGGGGGCTGGGACCCGGGACCACCATGCCAATTCCCATCCCACTGGACACCTCCCACCTGGACCTGTCCTCCAACACCATTGGCCCGCTCACTGACACCATGTTGTCCGGTCCAGGCTACACCACCCTCGTTAGCTTGGACCTCAGCAGCAACCTTATAACAACGGTCAGTGTTTAAAGGAGCTCTAGTACATCATGAGGTTATGTTTCCTTTGATTTTAACGACACGTTTGTATTTATAAAAATGAAAATTGTAATTTATAATCAATCAAATGTGGGCTTTTTGAGCTACGGTGTGGTATATTTGGACACAGCCTCTGGCAAATGCTAGCAAGTGTTAGCTAACTTTATATATATATTGTATTTATTGTTGTGGTTCACTCTTACCTCTCATTTACAGTGTTTTTTAGATGCATCAGTTTTCAGGGAAACAGTGTTAAACCTTACTTAATATAACTATCAAGCACCCAATGGCAGAGAGACAAAGTAAGCAGCTCAACAGTGAAGGTCTTAGCAGCAATTAAGCCAGATATGGGTAGTGGAGTAAAAAAAGTGTAAAAAGAATGATTACGGATTCATATTTTGGGATTTTTTAATACATTTGTGTGTATTGTGTCCCGCATAGACTTGCCTATCAACACAGCGCTGAAAAAAGTTGAACAAGTTATTTCAATGTATCTTCACATCTGAAAAATGTACCTGGCCAATGTTTTACGGTTTCTTTTCTCTTTCTCTCTATCTTGCCTTCACATTTTCAGATAACAGCCAATGTTCTGTCCAAGCTGCGTTACCTGGACACTCTGGATCTGAGCCACAACAACCTGCAGAGCCTCTCTCTCGGCTGTTTCTCCGGCCTCCCATTGGCTGAAGTTGACCTCAGCCACAACAGCTTCCAAGAGTTTGACATGGACGTGTTTGCCACCAAAGTAAATGGTGAGCCTGTCAGCGTGGATCTGTCTCACAACAGGCTTGTGTCAGTCTCCACGGCTTTGCGTGGGAGAGAGCTGCACATTCAAACCTTGAACCTGTCAGCAAACCGGCTGCTGAGCGTACCGGCGCTGGCAGGACTTCCGCTGAGGTACCTCAATCTGGATGGTAACCCCATCACACAGATCAAGGAGGGAGCTTTTGCTCAGCTGAAAAAGCTAGTTTATTTATCCATCAGTGGCCTCCAGGACCTTCACGAGATCATGCCAAACAGCTTCACGGGCCTCCTAAGCCTGCAAGTACTGGATCTCTCAAACAACCCCAAGCTCAAGACTTTAAGCCCCGCAGTTTTCAGCGGACTGGACTCCCTGCTGGAGCTGAATTTATCTGGCTCTGCTGTGGCGTCCTTGCCAAACAACATGCTGACACACCTGCCCAGCATTAAGAGTATCACATTAGGGCGGAGCATCCAATGCTGGAGGACACAGAAACAGGGACAGTTCCACCGGCAGCTGGGACAGGTCCAACACAACGAGGTGCTCAGCTGTAATGTGGAGGGCGTCATGTTGTAGGAACAGTGCCTGTGGAAATGGACCAACCCTTAAAGGGGCCAGTATAGTCCATCAGAAGTGCTTGCCAAGTGGTCGAATAGCTTCAGAAACCCCCCTCACACCAACAGCTTTCTGACGTTGGATATAACCATTAACATTTAAGATTTCTAGCATTCTGAGAGTCTAACCACGCCAGTACAATCCTAAAGCGAGAGCCGTGCCTTATCTGTTCTGATATGCAAAACACTTTTTTGTTACTTTCACTTAATTATCTCTGTTCCAAGGTGAGCTTTTGAAATATGTCTTAAAGGTTTCAAGTAGCCTACACAAACTCTTGACAGAAGTATAAAAAATGCTGTACCTTTCAGAAAAAACGACTTAAAACACACAAATAACTGATCTGTTTCTTTCAACCTTTACATTTAGCCTGAACTGGTAGATAATTGTTCATAAATCCAGCTTTTTGAGTAATGTTCATACTGTTTGTTATGTAATTCATTTAAAGTGGGACCATATTAAGAACTTTTTGCACTCAAACCAGTTGTGATGTTTTCTTAAAATGCACATACATGCAGTGTAATACAAAACCTTCTGTGCATTGCTCATCATATCCACACTGATTCTTGACCACTAAGATCATTTTATTTGACTTTGAATGTGATGCTTTATTGAAATGTTTAAAGGGATAGTTAGACATTTTGGGAAATGTGGGGATTTGTTTAATAGCCGAGCGCTAGATGAGAAGATTCTGATATTAGTTGGTCCAATATGAAGCAATATAGCCAACAGCATGCTAGCTTAGCTTAGCACAAAGCCTGGAAACAGAGGGAAACAGCTAGCCTGGCTCTGTCCAAAGAACTTCTTAAGCTCACTAAATAACTTGTTTGTTAAATCAATACGAAAAACGAAATGTGAAAACAGCGGTTGTACGAAGGTACTATTTATTGGACTTGCAGTGACTTCCTGTAGTCTTCTGGAATTCCCCATTGAACTGCAACATGTTTTCTTTATGTTTCAGTTGTTGACAGATCAAAGACATTTAATTTAACCTGTTTTTTTAATAAATGTTGTAATTTTTAGACGTAACCACATAAGCTGTTCTCCCCTGTTTCCATTCTTAATGCTAAACTTAGCTTCTGGCTGTGGCTTGATACTTAACACACATCCATGAAATTGTTGTGAATCTTCAGATCTAACTAATCAAGACAGCTAATGCGCATATTATACATTATTTTATTATATATATGTCCCAAAAATGTCAATCTGTACAATCCAAGTACCATAGTCCTTTATTAAGCTCGGTCTGGGTGGGGAACTTACACCATCTTCTGTAAGTGATGAGGGCAAAGATCTTTTCTTGTTAGGACCATTTCATTATTTGAATCTGACCTCCTGTCCTTTATGTTTGGACAACTTACCTTCATAAGGACTCTTAAGTTTGGTGGCCTTTAGAAATGAGGCCTGTGCAGCCTTTAACTCACTGTTCTGTTTGTCTTACACGTTACACAACGGGCAGCGAACAGGCCGTGACCATGTTGACCGGCAGTTTATTTTGACCTGCTGGCAAATCATTCTCCAGTGGAACAAAACGCGTGTTTGCAAACTAATTTGACCAATGAAGCAAATCAACGTTCTCTCAATAAGTAATGGTAAAACACCAAGCTGCACCTTGCTGTTACGTGTAACTTCACCTTAGCATTCCTGTGGTTTTTCTGTGGACATAAGAGGACGAACAGCCTCAAGACTGCATATTAGGGGTTTTGAATGTCAGCAATCTGTGAAAAGCTTGGGGCTTTAGTGTTTTGGTTTTAAAGGACATCCACCCTTTCAGTTGGTTAAATGAAAGTCAGAAGAGCCCAGTCTTGGTGTAGAAGTTTATATTTATATGTATGTAACTATGTTGTATATAACTTTATATATAAATGAATCTTGTGTGTAATAAATTGACTCTTCTCACACTTTAAATGACTGCGGTTTCTTCTGTGTGATGTAATAACCTAACTATTCTTTGGTGCGTAAGGGAAGGAGCACAAACTCGTCACAAGACAACTCACATGTCAGCGTCAACATTTTATTTAATATTGTGGTAGAGAGCCTGTTTTGCCACTCCGTGTCTGGTTTGTTTTCTTAGCCTCATATCAGGGTGTGTCGCTTAAATGGATAAATTAACTTAAACCCGAGTTATTAATCTTGCAGCACTTTCGCAACGTGCTGTGGGTTTTGCTTTAGTTACTTGAAACTGTCGCGTTACAGAGACACATAAACACACTTGTTGTTGTGAACAGAAGTTAAAAAAAACAACTAAAGCGGGCAGACATGTAAGGGTTTGGCAGCATACAGTGCTACACTTGGCTGGCAGCATGCCAAGGAGGTGACTGTGTAGCAGACGAGTAGAGAAAGGAGAGAGAGCCGGGTTCCTGTCATGGCGGCTTACAGATCTCCTGTGTGCGTCTGGCAATGAGTGTTTTGTCCTGTGAGACAGAGAAGACATTATGCCCTTCTTTCTGTGACACATCTTTGAAACTCCAAGACGCCCAGAAACAGATACAAATAAGGCTGAGTAAACCATTGCACCATAGTTGTACTGTACGTGTTACATCCCGTACAATGAGCGTGTGAAAATAGCGGATCTGTGGTCAAGCCAAAATGACTCAATTTTGTCTTGTTTTTGAGTCTGTTTATCCTATTCTTTTCACGTTACTAGGAGGCTGCAGGAGAACCCTTAGTGGATTGACCCCATTGTGGAAATCACTTCAAGATGTTTGTGCTTTTTCTTTTTTTTCAACTCCTGAAGCACTAGCATGTTGACATCCGAGTAACCAATCCTCCATCCAAGTAAGCTCTGACATAGAAGCACATAACTACACTGTGAAAAGACATTCAGGGAATGCAACAGCACAACAAATCAGTTTGTAGATCAAAAGGGGGAGAAAATTCAGGTTTGACATTTCAGTGGAGAATAACCAGAAAATCCAGTCTCATGTCTATTTTCTTCCCAGTTTCTTCCTTGAAATGTGCCTCATTACAGTCTGGGACATACATAGAAGTGTTTAAATGATACATTAAAGGATAGATGGCTAATAAATAGTATATGTCCATGTGTCTACTGCTCTGTTTTGAGAACATTTATAAAAACATGATTTCCTAGTGTACCTCTAAAAGATGTTGTTTTGCAGAGCTGGAATCAATAGAGATGTTGACATAAGTTCTGACATTTCTGTTTGACACTGAAAATCAAACTTAGCAGTGCCATTTAATTGGAATTTGCTCCTCTGAATCTACCCGGACAGAAAGTTAGTTTTCCATGAAAGTGAAAAACAAATACATCCACAGAGCATTGACAACATAGAAACGTTGTGTTTTTTCTATACCTGGCATCTTGCTTTCGTCATCACATACAGTGCAGTCGTAGGGAGAGGGGCAGTTATCAGGAGAACAAGAGACCCTTTTCAGGTGGATAAAGTTGACGCTAAGTCAATAGAGACTTTGAATCAGTGAGCCAAGTTTTCAGTTAGCTGATGTCTGTAAATGAACAAAGTTTGCATGTACATTTACAGTAAACAAACAGCGGCTCACATGCATGCAAGTTTGCCCAACAAGATTGATATGTTTTGCTACAGCTACTGAACAAAAATAGAATTCAACTTTCTTATTTTAGTTTTTCAAAGAAACCTCCAGCGTAAAGATTTTAAACTTCATAATTAATTTCAATTTCCAAGACAAACTTAACTTGACTGTGCTGTTTACATTATAAAAGTGTGGGGCATGTCGGTGAAGAAATCAAAAGGTAATCACGCGCTTTCTGCAGGGGTCTGGCTCGGAGATGTAGTTACTTCAAAGCAGAGGGAAGCTTTGAACTGTGTATAATTAATTCAGGCAAGCAGAACCAGGGTGTCTTTATTAAGTGCTCTGTTCTTGCTTGAACAACTATCAAACAAATGTAATGTGACCTTCCCCGGATAGATCCTCTGGAGGATCAGGCTATCCAAGCAGCTAATTCACTTTGCTTCGACAACGAGCCCATAGTGCTCCAAACGCTGCAAGGTTTTACTTGTCAGTCCCGCAGGAGGCTGAAACACAACACGGTTTTTTACATTTATTTTTGTTTGTTTGGAATGGAGGAGTGAATAATTGTCACTAAACGTAATTTTCTTTCATGTATAGCCACATTTTGGAGATAAGACATATCGAGGGTCATAACGCCCCTTATGTGTGTTATGCTGCCGTGATAATAGACACCAAGGCACTGCGTCAGCGTAATGCTGCTCAGCAAAGAGGTTTTGTTTTTCAGACAAACAAAAGATCAGCTCAACTGGACAAAGGTCACAAAGATCAGTTTGTTTGCTTTCTAAAGAGCCACTAAAGCTGTTACCACTATAGTGCACTTGGTAAATCCCAAGACAATAGGTTTGAACAATGAAAAACAAGATACTAATTGACAATAAGCTTTACACAGTTATTTTGTTGTTGTGTGCTCAACATATGCAGAGGTGAATGCAGATGATTTATTTGAATGTCCATGAAAAAGATTCCATATTGCAGATTGAAGGCCATAGTTCCCAACCAAGGGGAAATGACTGAAAGCAATAGAAGCAGAACATTGTTGCTACATATTTTGGATATACTTTACTTTACTAAGTAAGATAACATTAAAATATGCTTTAAACAAATAGGTCTTCTTTCTCTCTCTTGGTCACAAGCTAAATAAATGTGTTGTAAAAAGTCGTAAGTAAACACTGCTTTGTTTTCATGACTGAACAAAAGAAAGTACTGCTGCTGTGGCTTAAAAAAACACAAATCAGCAAAAATGTCAAACTCTTCAGGGAAGAAAACTCATCACTTTAGAGTGACCCAAAACTGTACCATGACTCAGCATGTTGAGAACCAGCTCAAGGTGAGTAGTTCTGTGAAGTTTATATTAAGCTGTATTGTAAAGGTTGCATGCAGATTTATTTACACTAAGCTTCAAATTGTTCCATCAGCTGCTCCCTGTCCTGAAGTGTATGCCATGTTTTGTATATAAACACTTGTGTGCTGGTTTATTCGTCACAAACAGTATACAGAATTTCACTTAGAGCAAAGTCAAGTTTTGTTTTTATTCATAGATGTAATTTTGTGTAACAGATGGACCCAAGATCAAGCAGTTCTATTATGTGGCTGAAGCTACACATTAAACTGTGAATCCTCCTCAGCCAGACTGATACAAATGTGTCTTTATTTCTATTTAAACATCTAAACCTTTATTTAGCATCTTGAATATCAGAGACAGTGTGACTCATACACAGTAACTCTGGAACAAGTTGCAAATAAAGGGTGGAGCATTGTTTCCCTTACACACAGCGCTATTATTGTCCTCTATTATTATTATGTATCTACAGCCTGTGACATGAGGCATGCGAGAGAAAAGGAAACCTACAGTAACATGGATCGTGTAAAAATACATGGGTATGATAACACAATGTTGTTTGGTAAAATTAGTATTAGTTAGTTAGCAGCAAACACATATTTTCATATTATAGAATATTATTTTTCTCAAGGATTGCAGTTCAATTAAAAACACATACATTGGCTTTGAATGAACCAACAAAGATTAATAAAAAGAAGCCTTTTTGAAACTTCATATTTAACCATATCATCTATTTACCTAACTGAAGAATATATTGTTTATGTTATACTGCCTGAAAAGAGATGCAAAAACCTCATAAAAAAATAAAACGTTTTCAAAAAGAATGTACTGGTCACTTTAACAACACATCTGTCTCCGACCCGGGGTCATATCTGGTCACATTCATAATCAAGGGTCAAGACGGAGCACAGCGTGACTTTCCACATCTATCTTTCTATGTAGGAGGAAGGAAACACCAACCACAGACTGCGCCCTTTCAGCGAAGCTTTGGCTGTTTTGCACAAAAAAAAATGCTCATATTTTTATATTCTATTCAGGGAAAAAGGAAGAATAACAACTAGCAGAAGAGACAAGAAAGCCAACCGAACACAGAAGGCAACGTACAACACACAGATACACCCAGAAGGATAAGATTAGCTGCCGTCACACTAAACAAACCAGACAAGCCACTTTTCTCAAAGGATACCACCTTTTTCTTTAAATCTATTTCCAATTTTTCTCTTAACTTGTTTTAACAGTGTCTATCCCTGCTCTACATTTTGTATCACTCTACGGCGTACGCTATATTATGCGTTAAGAACTCAGGCACTTAGGAGGTAGGACCCAATTGCACGACCCGGGAGACACAGGTAAAGTATTGGTAAGATACTTTATTTTTCCAAGATATAGCAAAAATGAACAACAAAAAATGGTCGCTATCAAATCTCTAGCTGAGATGACAAAAATGAGAACAAAAGTAAAAACGCTCACGTTGTGAGGAACAAACTTATCAAGAACACAAAAGAGCATAGACCTGACTGTGACAAGAGCAAAGCACTGACCATGGCAATAGACAAAAACGAACTGACAAGGAACACTGGGAGACTGGGGAATTTAAACACAGGGTAACAAGACACAGGTGGGAACAATCAGGGGCGGGGCTGACGCTGATGAGCACAGGAGACACAGAAGGGGTGACAGGTGAAAACAATCAGGAAATTAGACACACCAGGGAAACTAACGACAAACAGGAAAACACAGGGAAAAAGACCAGACAATACACAGGGAGGAAAACATGACATTGAGAGCAGCAAAACACCCACTACCAGACACACAAAACTAAAAATGTGACACAACACAAGAATCGTGACATTATGCTTGAACAGAGGCAACATTGAAGTAAAAAATGGGGGGGAACAAAAAGTGGATGAGTTTGTTATAGTTCATTTTTCAGGAAGCCGCACCCATCTTATCTTTCCTGCAGCGTCTTTCTCTTCCCCTCACAGGGCAGAAAATGCTGTGTCATGTGTTGACCTGGCTGTACTTTTAACATCATTAAACTAAGCATTACTTCCCCATC